GGGGGAGAGGAGCCCCCCGCAAGTTTGGGCTGCGGCGGAGGGAAGGGGCGATGGTTTGGATCCGCGCTTGGAGCGGCGCGGCTCCTCGTTCCCGTGTCTCGTATACATGCACATATATATAGGGGTTTATTTTCCTGCCAAATCGTCAACTTTGGGCCAGGTTTGGGGATCGGAAGGGACGAGCAGGGCTGGCTTGTCCCCATGTCCAAAGCGGGGACCTCCCGGCCCCGTGGGGAGGGGGATGCGCGGAGCTCTCCGCGCCCGCGCAGCATCCCGCGTCCTGCCGGCAGTGGGATGGGGGGTGCGTGTGTGTGTGCAGCGCTGCGCCTCTCCCCCGGACAGCTCGGCTTCTCTCCCCTGGAACGATCCTCCGTGCCCGAGAAGGGGCTAATTTTGGGGAAGAGGTGGGATAAGAGGCTACTACCATCCTGTGAGAGGCGTCTGCTCCGATTAATCAGTGGCTCCGATGTTTAAAAGCCAGAGGAAATCGATAGGCATTTTAAATTATTATTCATTATTATTTTTTTTACCGGCTACACCCCCAAGGATTTGGGGGTCCGAGAGTGGGAGCAGAAGCGGGGAGCCCTCGGGAAAGCCCTTATCCCCGCCCTCCAAGCCCTTCCTCGGTGTGTTGCCTGCTTGTTGCACAGCTGCTGCCCATCGGCTGCCCCGGAGCGGGAGCTCATCACGGTCTATACAACCCTTCGGAGGCGCCTATATGGACCTGGCTTTAGGGAAACGTACCCATAGTAGAACGCTCTACTACTCAAATCACTTCTTTTTTTATAATAATCCTGAAATCATGGTGAGAGACAGGGGAACGAAGGGGATGTGGTGGTGAGGGAAGAGGAGAAAAGTTGCATTTGGGTGTACGGAGGGAGAAGGTGAAAAGCCAGCCCCCGAAGAGGGTAATGGGAACTGTCAAAGAGTGCAGAAGCGTAAAAGCCGAACAATCCCAATCCCCATAGGTTGTTTATTCCTCATAAAATACAACTCTACATAGCAGGAAGTTACTGCAAACATTTATCAATAATGAATGAATCTCCTGTAATAAAATACACTCATAATTAGCTACAGTCAAGTACGTACATTATGCCAAGGCTTTTGCAACTCTTTGTTGAAAATCCGACTTAGATAAATCCTCTTAAACAGCCTCTTAAGAAGGAAAAAAAAAATAAAATAAAAAGCAGTAGCAAACCACCACCCAGCATCTCTCCTCCTTTTCTGCCGTTTTTGAAACCCAAACCGTAACTACTCCTGAAATATAACGGAAAAGTCTTTGGTGAATTCAGAAGAGTCATTAACATTCAGCTTTAAGTGAATGTTAACAGTAAATAAAGAAATCTCTTGATTGTAATAGTTGCAACAAAGCAATAATAAACCAGTGGGCGGTCATCAGTAATGATAAATGTATCATTATTACTGCGTGTTGGGGAACAGGGTTTGGAAAGTACTTCAGACTTTTTAGTGGCAAGCTTGGTGGCAATTCGTTTCTTAGCCTGGGAAAAGGCGGAGGGGGGGGGAAGCGCCATATAATTTTATACACAATTTAGGTGAAAATAAATTTAAATCTGTATATTACATTTTTAATTTCAAGATAGTAATTAAAGCTGGTTCATTATATCTCCTCTGAAAGTCTCTGTGCTCATCTTAATTGCCTGTTTGTACAATCTGCTTTCTAAGACACCCAAGGTTACTGGGTTCTGAAAGACGCAAAATTGAATTATTTACTGACGTGATGACTCTTCGTCACTTTTCTCTCGGAAGTTTGGGATCGCTGCTCCCCATCACAGCCTGATTGGGGCCCCGCTTCTCCTTGTTGCTCATTTAAATGCTTCGGAGGAGGCACGTTTCTCATGTTCAGGGCGCTTTAATTTATGCGTTTAAAAAAAAAAATCCATAGCTGAGGTGTTTTTTTTCGTTTGGGTTATTTTTCTCCTCCTAGTCCCCCCCCCCTCGGGCGTTAATTCACGCACACCTAGACTTTAATGTCTTTTCCTCCCTGCCACCCCATTCCCAGGCAGGACAGAAATGACCACCCTCGCGTTTTAAAGCGCTGTCGGGCGGATTATGGAGCACCCATCTCCTCCCGAGTTGCCAGTCGCTTCCCGTAGGACGAAATAAAATCACAAATCGCATCTTTTTGGGTACTGTTTCTATTCGGGTGGGTGACGCGGGGGGGGCTGGCGGGCAGCCTTCCCCCTGCGGGGGTATCCGCATCTCCTGGCTAAGGTCTGCACGTACCTTCGGCGAGGACCACCTCGGGTTTGGATCGCTCGGAGCATATTAAATTGAGAGTTTAAGAGAGCTCCATCAGACAAAAGATGCCGTTCCGGTTCCTTCCCTTCAGCCGCCGTGCTGGTTTTCAGCTACCGGAGGGATAACAAACTACCTAGAAATGCCCCATCCCTGAACTCTCCCCGGTATCTTTAGAGAGTCAGAAGAAGATCGCGTTGAGTCGGTTCCCCCCTCGTTATTACGGTTATAGAAGTATCTTTCCGAGGCGTCCTCCTGCCACTGAAAAACTCCACGTAGAGATCTCTGCCCTTTTGTTGTGTCTAGCTGGGTTATTCAAGAGCAGAGACAAAAGCCCGAAGTGATGTGATCTAAATGAGCTCCGGGGTTTTCCAGATGGGACCACCTCTGTTCCAAATGCCCTTTCTGCTTAACATAATAAACTACGATTAAAAAAAAAAACAAAAAACACTACTTAGCAAAGAGCTTCGCTCTAGACCAAGCAGTGCAAGCAAAATCTACACGATAAGTATTAAAAAAAAAAAAAAAAATAAAGAAAAAAGGAAAGAAAAACCAAACACTTTCGCTGCCTAAATTTTGTTAGGAGAAGAGATTTTAAAACGATACCTTGTGTGTCTGCTACTTACACGGCTGCAACTTTCAATGGGATGTGGAGGAGTGGGAGGAGGGGATGGATCCGCTTTGGGGTTGGTTTTTTGTTTTGTGGTTTTTTAAACGCGCCACGGTTATCTTGCTCCCCGTGGCCTCTATGCTACAATATTTAAGCGCTGTGGAAGTAAATAAAGGCCGTGAGGGTGGGTTGGGGTGGTTTGAACTTGGCCGCTTTTCCCAGCTGCTCGTTTCCACACGGAGCGACCCGCAGCGAGACGATGAGCTGCTGTCGCCTCCCGCTCGGCCGCTCCAAGGCTGACTCGCGGTAGAGAAGAGGGAAAAGGAGCCAGAAGAGGGAAAAATCGCGTTTAGCTCTTCTAGGCTTCTGTGAGAAGTTTGTCCACCTCCCCCGTTCCTCTCTTACGAGCTGACTCCAAGACAAATAACGAAATGAACGGAAGAAATTGGAGTCGACAACAGGACAGGAGCCCAGGTCTGCACCTGCCCGTGGTAGGGAGTGCGGACACCCCACCTCAAATCGGGACTCCCTCCCGCCTCTCGTCAGGGTCCAGGATGGGCTCCAGCCGGCCCGCGGAAGCACCGATGGGGTCGGCGGTGGCCGGAGCAGCCCCGTCGGGCCTGGGGAACACCTGCGGGATCCACCTGGCTCCTGGGTGGACCGACCTTTCTCCATAAAACCAAACTCACCCCCGCCATGCCCTTACTGGGGTCGTGCTACCCCCACGAGCGATCCCAACAGGCTTAAGTAGGGAAAAGGAGAGAACGGTGTATTCTTGTCCCGCTTCTCTACGGTGCTGGTGCGGGTCAGTGTCTGCCCCAAATTCGGTGAGCTCCACCAAGCCGAGGGCACTTGGTGCGGCTGCAGGCAGTGCCCGTGCGGCACGCAGGGTCTTTCACCCTCTCCTGCCACCGTGGGGACTAGGACACTCTGACCCAGGGGTTTCAGTTTTCCCTTTAAAGGGAATGGCAAAAGCCACTCAGTTTTTACAATGGAATTTATGGGGGTCCACAGCACTGAGCAGGTGAAAAAAAAAACAATTTATTTTTGCTTTTCGTTTAGCCACCACAAAATAAAACGCGGACGCCGGCTACTGACGCCCCCGTCCCGAGCCTGAGTTTTCCACTTCTCCCGGGCTGCGAGAACGCAGTTCTGTGGGTTGCTTCGTTGAAGGCGCTTTGCAAAACCCTCTCATCCCTTTCGCCTTCTGCAACCGCTTTTCCTCTTCTTCCAGCGCCGGGCTGAGAGCCTGGGGCGAGGTTGTCCATCCCCAGGTTCTCCTGGGAACTACCGGGGAAAAGCCACCGGGTGGCCGAGGGAGAGGGGAACGGTCTGCCCAGCGGCCGCTGCGGGGATGCAGGCACTGAGCATCCGCAGGATCAGCCGGCTTCTCCCTAAAAACCCCCGTCCCTCCAGGTGCCGACCTGGGAGCGAAGACAGGAGGGGAGATTTTCTCCGTGGCGTGGTAATAGATCATACAATGTGTGACACGGGTTTAACCAATAAAACAATTTGAATCAATTAGGTGACGGAGGAGAGTTTTGAAGTGTAAAATTCATGTCAGCCTGGCTAGGAAGCATTGATTAAAATGTCACCAATGTGAGGCTTATAGCCATTGCTCACACGAAAGCAGCAGGCTCCGTACAGGAGAGGATCGGGGAAAAGTAGGAGGGAGGGGAAAGGGGGGAGTCTCCGTGCGACAGTGGCGACATGGGGGCGAGCAAGGTTTAATAAGAAGTGACGGAAGTAATAAGGAGAAGTGTGATATTATTAGTATTACTATTACTATTATTATTATTATTAAAGTTAGCGAGGACCCGAGTAATACTCGGATAGAGTGGATGAGCTTTAGCATGGTTGTCCTGGGAAAGGTCAGTGCAGAGACTTTTGCCTGGATCTGTGATGCCCGGGGAAAAATAAAAAAAAAAAA